GACCTCGACGGGGAAATAAAATGGAAATTATAGGAAGATACTTTGGTTAATATATTATTAAAGCATAAAATATTTCACTATTCGCTGTATTAATGGTCGTATTTTAAATAATAACACAGATACACATAAACTATAAAAACAATTTACAAATAACACAACTACTTATAACTGATGATAATAACTTTTCCACGTACATATCGTTTAGTTCTTGACATACATACGATAGCCTGGACAATGTCTTTGTCAAGGAGTCTAAAAATTCTCATATCTCGAAATATTTTTATGCGATAGGCGATAATAAATAATCTATTGACCCAATTATGCCGACCTCCTGATACATGCCAAATGTTTGGTGTATTGGTTACTAATGCAAGTTTACGCATTGATTTGACTAAAGGTCGACCCAAATGTAATAACAAACACTGAGCAGACGCACTATTGATATGTAACGTAACAGTTATAGAATATAATATGAATAACAATTCGAACTTTAATGAATTTTTATCGGTGTACTTAAGAGAACGCGTCACTGTTTGAATTTTTAAAGAAGAGTTTGTTAAAAAAAGAACATACGATTTGTGAGTATATAAGAAACAACTGTTATGCGACGGTCAAGTTCTAATTTTAAATATACACAATATTTTAACCGGTCAAGAACAAATTTGCGAAACTCATACATGACAGCTCTTACAACGCTAACTATAACACTGCCCTCCGATTTGTTCCGCTTGCTTTGTTTAGTTACGCAATGTTTTGTTATATTTACGTTAGAGATCGTATCACCGGTCTTTCATAATCTAGTTATTTTGGAGACAGTCGGTATGCCGCTAGCGAGTTTATTGTGAAAAGGATTACAGTAAGCGCTACAAATGCTGCGTTAGAATTGACGGTGTGATTTGAGTTAAAGAAAAATATCCGGTATTTCAATTTGATTCTCTTCCTCAGCAAGTGTAGCAATAATTACTTTGCCGATGTCGAAATGGGTTTCTTCCTAACTTAATACCATTTTAATCGTAGTGAAACGAAAACATTAGATGGTAAGACTAATTAACACACATCAAAAAATAATTTAAACCCTTTGATAGAATTATCGATATCCTAAATTGACTAATTAGGACTTACTAAAAGTGAACCCAGCTAAAATGTAAAAGTTTTAAGCGCAATTTGTGAAATTCATTTCGATAATTGTTTACTATCATTATCAACAACAGCCCCTTTATGTCCCCATTGCAGGGGCTCAGACCTTCCTTATGATGATAAAAGAATCCTCCTTAATATGATTCTCCACACTGGGCCAATGCAGATTGGAGTGCATATGCAGCCGGAATCAACTGCTTAATATGTCTTCCGAAGCTGAAGATAATAGTTCTTTGGTCACCCATCCCGCTACCGATCCTTGTAAAAGTTGCTAAGCAACAATTATCGCGGGTCGCGGGTATATTTTTCTAAATCCTAGTCGGCTTAAAATTGTCCTTTATTTTTATTTGGCTATAAAAACAAGCAACATCACATCTATCCTGTTGCGTACTCGAAACGGTCAAGTTTTTTATATTAAAAAACTAGTCCTAGGTGACGTCACGTTAGTATCGTGATTTCCGAGAGCATCATAATCACGACACTATGGATTAAAGCTAAACACTCACTAATCTGTATAATAATGCATTACTTGGGTTTATTCCATTTAGTAAGGTAACTCTCAACGAAATTGATTTATAACGGTGCCAACAGAATAGAATTAAAATAATCTGTGGCAATTCACATAACCTTAAGAAAAAAAAATCTTGTTTATCTTAGAAATATATTTGAAAGAAATAGAAAACACTCGTAGTTTGCAGACGGGACAAATGTCGTATGATTCACAGAGAGAACATGTTTTGTTTATCCTTAGAATAATAAAATTTTGTTATATCTACGAATTCGGATCCACATATGATAAATTCAATGAGGTCAGATATATCTTTAGATATTACAAAACAAACTTTTAGCACAATAAAAATTGAATTTAATGCAGTTTTCACCAAAAGGTAAAGGAATTTTTAAGTGCCTTCCAAAGCAAATCAATCGGCAAATAATTTTACCGTTTGAAATGAACCAAAAAAAAGTTGACTGGAAAACTTTGTATCGATTCATTATAATGGCCTTTCCGAATTGTGTTAAAACGAGTTACATTAATTTAAATCATCGCTCATCGACGATTTTATTTCTTCTAATTCTTATCTTGCATAATATTACATAATAATTGTGTTAAATATTTCCTCTCAAAGTGATGCCGATGAATTATTAATATTTAAAATTACAGCCTAATTATATTAATAAGATTTAACGTTAGTTTCATCATTAATTATAATGATGATAATTTTATTCTTCCATCTAACATAACACGATAAAAACAGTTTTTGAATGAATCGTTATCTGTTATATCGCTTAGAGGATTTCACATTATTTCTGACGTTTGCACTGACGCAATTATTGAATTAAAAAAAAAACTATTTTGAAATAATTCAATGACAGTTGAATTTTTATCTGAATGAATCTGAAAATTAAAAATTACCAATATATTAATTTACTTTATTGAACGAATTTCATTAACAAATAAAAAGTTCTTTTTTTGCGATGAATTACCGCATAGTTGAGTATTATCGTGCAAGTTGTGATATCTAGAAGGTTTCTGTTTTATTCCACTGTTGTAAGTGTTGTTTTGTGTCTTTGATTACTTGTAATTATACGACGATCGTCGGCTCGTGCAATAACGCTTGGGTCCAATTAGCCACTTAAATTAACAGACAACTTTTGATAAAATACTTTAGTGAATAGTTAAAGTAATACAAACCTTTGCAAGCTGGATTTAAAATTTAATGACCAGTAAACCAACATTTTTAATTGGAGCAGAAAAGGTTGTAAAGCAAATTGTATAAATGTGCTAATTAATCAAATTAATTTACTTTATATTTTTATTTATATGATTTGAAATAAATTTATTATGAGTTTAAAGTATATTAACTGTGAAAAGATAAAACAACTCAAAAAATATTTAGGTAAAAGTAATTTTATCCTAAACATCGCTATCCCACTGAAATACTTCAAATTGGAAAGGATATTGTATAATTGACCCCTTTTAAGGATCGCTCAATTATGAATTGTGCCCATTTAGCACTCAAGAGTCGTGATCGACCAATAAAAGTTTTGCGAAATTCCACAGTACGACGTGAAATTATTCTTTTTTTAACTAAACACAAGTACTCACTCAAGTGCTCCATACTTAAATAATTCGAGGGCAAAAGGATGTCCGAAACGAGAGTAATACAAAATTATGAAATGTTTGCAGAAATAACGGCATAGGGTACATTAAACATAATTATAGGAGAGCTTCCTTTCTAATAAATATAAAGGTCAATGTTTCTTTGATTTTACAGCACTACAACGCTTTGTATTGCAGTTATACATTCTCATTGCAATATAAGTATCTACTTCATCAGTTATAACAACAGAATTAGCCAATCTAAATCCGCCAAATTGTGTTTCAGCTGTTGCGTCAAACTTCTCACGAAGTATACCCACGGTTATCGTGGTCGTAATTGGCTCACCAATCATTCGGGGTCAGGATTGGATGACTCAGGTTCATGCGAAGTCCAATCAAGCGGGATACACTTTAAAGACTAATTAATAAAGCTGAGTACGAACAATTAACAGATGCGGTATCTCTGTTTACATTTAGTCCACGTGGTTTGCAATTCAAACTAAGTGGGTCTAAGAAATTTGGGAAAAACTAACTATCTTTGTTATCACAAATAAATGGGGTGTTTACGATAGTTAAATGGGTTTGTTTGTTAATATACTCATTATACTCGAAGCTAACCAGACAATATGCATGGGCAAACAAAATCCTCTTTTCTGTACATAGTCATTGGTTGTGTTATAATGTGTAAATTCTTGACAGATTTTTTACAACTTTCGACTGTATTTATCCTCTAAATAACGTAATGGAATTTTGAACTTTTAGATAATTTGGTAAATATTTATTTAAAAATGAATTTAATTTCACCCTACTGTGTTTATCGGCTTCAATTACAATAAATTGGATTGAACATTTTGTCGCCGTTATGTTTTTAATTGCATAGAGCATATTTTGATTCATCGAAGTAATTAGAATCGGTGGAAACTTTTGTTCCATTTTGTAAACCTGATTTATTACTAATGGAACTTTACAAAGTTCTCGTCATTCAATACAATCTTGGGCCGTTTTTAACTGCCGTTATGATGACAATACAATTTCTATCTATTATCGATGGAAACCGAACAATAGTCCCGTAACCTTGAATTTAATGGCACTCAGACCCCATTGGGGAAAATAAATAAAAAGTTTGACAAGACATCATCGGCAAAAGATTTTTAGATGATTAATAATGTTTTTATTATCTTTGTGTTGGTGTAATATGGATGAAATTAAAATGGTTTTTGAAGATTAATCATATATTGCAGAATATGTACTTAGAAAAGGAACGTTATTAACATTCAACAGGCAACGCGACACTAATAGTCTAATAATACTAACAAGCTTTGGCTCAAACCCAAGGAAGGGAATCTTCACCCCAAAAAAATCTATAGGTTTTAAGACCTGCCATTGAATGTAGAGTCATTTTTCTCTATTGCTCTCAAGTACAAAGTGACAGAGATTTTTTTGTAATAGTCGTCACTTAAAATACCTTTTGCTGATTATTTTGTTAAATACTCGTGAGTGTTTAGTAATAATTGATCAAAACAATTCGGCATTGAAGTATCTGAACTTTACATGGTCTTGAAAATAAATCTTCAAACTTTATGATGGCGAAATATTGTTGCAACTAAGACACCAATGCTAAATCAGGATAAACTACTGGTTTGTTCATGCAAATAAATATTTTTCTAATTATTCAAAGTCCATGCGTCACTCCGTTCGCTAATAAAAAAAAAGCTGTTTATATGAACTGGAAAACTAGACGTGAAAGTTAGTCGAAACTCACCGATTGGATATTGTCCTCAAGCCAGGTCGTCTACAGAAGACCAGTAGGGCCAAGGAATTCGCCGCGGTTGACACTAAGAATAGTGCCAGGAGTACTATCTCCTCGACAAGCCGGTCTCGTTCCATCCCCTCTGACATCAACGTTGGTCCAGGAGACGTGAAAGGTGGCTGTTCCATTCAAATATCATCACTACACTTGAACACTAGCAACTTGACACTCTCAGTTCAAATTTTTGATCCAGTTCACTGCAGTTGTAAGTCGCGTAAAGTTTAGTTGAGAACACAGCGGCGTGTAACCGCACGCGTCTTTCTCGTAGCGCTGTCGTGTGACAACTGAATGGCGACGAGTTCGAAGCCAGCTGGCGTGGCGAGTCATCCCCTCCCGATCCACAATCAGCGTACCGCATTGTAAAGGTGTTCTTGTTAGTTACAAAGTTCTTTTATTTTCCTACCGATTGGTTCAATGCATTTTATAAATATCCTTGTGTTAAAATAATAAATTATTATGACGTTTGAACGAGTTTCGAACGTTCTGTAACTCTACGTTTGCCAACGACAATCAAACATCGTTGCCTGACTTCTTTTTTGGTAAAACGGGACTCTGAAAGGTTTGAGTAACAAAAGCTGCTTTCTTGCGTCAAAAGCAGACATGATAAAAGACGTGAATAAATGAGAACTTTTTTGTTTTGAACTTTATTTTTTTAAATTTATTAAGCTAATAACAGAAATCGTCTAATTTATGTAAATAAATACTCAAGTAATGCCTTTATTGCCAATTAGGTAATAGTTATAAGAGAAGCTTATTCAGCACGGGACGTTTTATTTTGGGCTACAAAAATTGGGTCATTACACTAAAGAGCACTTTTCCTTGTTCTATGTGTTACACCATAATCAATACTATGTAAGATAATTTAGGGCAACTAAAACTAGTGGATTTCATAGATTTCGATTTTTTATCATAATTAGATTGTAATCCGTAGTAATATTAGAAATTAGAATGTAACTCTGTATATCTGCATGTCTTTTACGCTTTCACAGCTAAACCATTGGACCGAATTTAATGAAATTTGATAGATAGATTCTATGCCTTGGTGAAAAACACAATTTCCTACTATCATGAGAAAAGGGGTAGTAAAGGGGTTGTGAGAAAAATGGATACGTTTTCTCTTCTTTTTTGTTCTTTTTTTCCATTTCCTACGAAATGAAGAAGGCACAGGCATTTCTGCAGCGTTCAGCCAAGACAAGTGAATTTTATATTCAATGTGTATTTTTCTGGCTAACAGCAATTTAATTATTAAATGTCTTGAACGGTGTTTTAAATATTAATTACACATGGAATATTAAAAATATAATCAATATTGTGTACATTAATTGTGTAATGATAATTATAGTTCAATTAAACACAATTAAAAATAAATAATCTTAGCGAATGACAGGTAAGTTATCATTATTAACTTTAAGTCGTTAACCTTAAGTATTATTATCGAATTAACAATAAAGACACATATTTTCTATACTTACTATTTATAGTACAACCAAATGTAACATTAATAGTGTTGGGGTCAGAAGTATTTAAAGCGATAAGTATAAAAACCTATTTGTTTACAAAAAGTTCCGTTTCAATTCTAAATTTAAAAATTCCAAATAATTACGCACTATTTTTATTGAATGATATGCTAATCATAAGAATTTATTTACATTGACTGCATACCTTGATTTAATTTGAATTATTTATTTATTTAACTTTATTGACCATTGAATTAAAATTTTCTTTATAAGCGAAATAATGAGTGATTTATCAAAATGATTGACATTTATAATAATCAACCTGGCAAAATTTGTGTTGCCCAACTAGTATAGAAAAAGAAAATTGTTGTCTTTCCATTTTTCTCTCAATGTTTTTGTCTCCGCAAAATGAAACATTTTTAAGACTTACATTAAAAATAACACGAAGGCCTAAAAATGTGATGAAGACTTCTTATTAATCACACAAGGTTTGATGCAAATGATTCAAAATATCTAACGACATATGTTTTTATTTCGAGCAAAAACATTATTCTTAAATTCTTCTCCATTTCCTATCCTGGGCGAGATATTTTCCATGCAATATTTCTAAATGTCTGAGCAGTTAATAACAAAACGTACATTAGGTAGGTTAAGGTGGGTGTTACTCGGGGCACATCGTTACAATAGACATATCTCCCATCCCTGTTCTTTATTTTTATAATGTTGGTAATACAGCTTTGACAAGCTTTTAGACGGCCATATTGAAATAGTTGAGATTGCTTTAGTTTATATTGTGTATTAATAGATGTGTGACCAAATGAAGAAAAAATCCTATTGAAGTGTTTTGTTTTTTTTTCTGATATGTGATATTTAGGTAAGTGATTAGGATTTTCATCTATTTACTGTTCATTTGGCTTCAGATTATCGATAAATAATTAATTGTAAACATAATAATTACTTATTTTGTATATTTCTGTTCAGCTTGCCTGTCTGGAATGCTGCGTTACGAAGCACTGTGTTATACTATTATACAATGGGCCTCAATCAAGTATCTCGTACCTTTTATTACTAAAATTTCGATTAAAACTAATAGAAAAAAGACGCATCACGGTCTTCAAACTGAAAATATATGGAAAAGCGATTCTGATGGTCTAAAGCGAGATAAATCTTAGAAAGGCAACAAATGAAATGAATGTTAATTTCATTACGTAGCAAAGATATCTATAGAAGGGTAAAGCCCCAATCACGCATCTTAATTTTTTATTCCAGAAATCAAAAGAACTTGTCCTGTCACAGAGTACCCCCGATACAGGGCTTATTGTTACAATCTACTTACCTAATTATTATGCGATATTTAATTAGGTTTTTGGCAATGATATTCATGTTTTAATAATTATAATTAAATAGAGACTCTTATAGTTTATATAAGAGTCAGTTACAAATTGATTAAATAAATATTTTTGTTTTCACATCGTCGTTTCATTCTTTTTTGTAAAACTGTAGCCCAACTTACCCTAACAATTATATTGGCTGCTAAACTATTACGTAGTACCAATCAAGGGTACAGGTAACAACGACAAAGCGCGGAGTGAACCTTACGTAAAACCTGGGATTGTATCGGTTATTGTATTTACGTAAACGGTTTGTTTTGATAAACAACAACTAGTTATAGCTAACGTTCAGTGTTATACGAGGTTTTTTAAATGTTGTTGTTTACGTTATGTCACAACTCTAATGACTAAAAGAAAGTATTCGAATTTAAAATGTGTAGAATTGAGTTCCAATGTAAAGATTGAATTTTATGCATTTGCTTAATTAATTAGTCTCTTTTAACTGATTGTGGTACCTATATTTGGTAATGATTCAGAGATTATCATAGAAATTTGACAAAAAAATGTTTTTTTTTTTCAAAAAATAGAACAAAATTCGCACTTTTAAGAACAGAGAGCTCATAAACTTTCTAAAAAAAAAACATAGAACCTCCTCCTTTTGAAATCGTGGGGGAAATTTTGGTGACCTGCCACAAAGGTTTCTGCAGCCATGTTCGTACGCCAATCTCTCACAAAATTAAGATACAAAATATATTAAGAATCTTGATACTGACATGTATATGATTTTGTGATAAGATAATAAATTATTATTACTATCATTTTTGATTTTGAAGTCGCTTAAAAACTGACCAAGTGTAAGAGGTCTAGTACAACTTTAGTGGAACTATGAAACTTACATTTTTAGAATTCCGAACCCAAAGGATAAAACAGAATCCTATCACTAAGACTCCGCTCTCCGTCTCTCCGTCTGTCCATCTGTCCGTTTGTCATCAGGCTAGCTAGCTCGTTGAAATTTTCACAGATGTTATATTTTTGATGCCACTTTAACAAAAAATACTTCAAAACAGAATAAGTGGACGAGTCTCGTACTTAGCCGGTTTTTTATTTGTACCTAAATTCTCAGAATTATATTTAATTAGACATGTACGAGTATTATAATAATTATAACTCCCGCCAAGAAAGTACAAAAAAATGCTCCGCAAAAACAAAGAAAAACAGTAGATAAAATTCGATTCTCTTTCACAAATACACATAATACGAAAGAATATTAAGTTTCACACTTAAGTCAATAACATATTTGGCAATAAATACAAAATTAAGGCTAGGTTATAAAATAAAAATATTTAATTTTTACAAATAAAATTTCGACATTTTCTCGTCAGTGTTGCCACTGCTATTCACTTTCAATTTTCCCAAGTATATGGGAACCTTTTCTTTTTATTTTACTATATGTAGCTATAATTTATCTAAATATCTTTTTATAATTAATTATGTAGCTCAGCTTAAGTATAGGCAACTGCGCTAATTCTGTTGATATTTTTTTTATACATGCACATAGATGCTAATGTGGTTTAATTTTTTCGATGCGTGGAATTCGTTAGTTGTCGAGATACAACTTTTGAAAATACGTAAAATTGTTTGTTTGATGTTTTATGAACTTTGACAAATGTTTTTGTCTTAGCCACTGACTTTATCGAAACACAAAGGGATATATATGCACAGAGCCTACTTTCGTTACTGTTTTTTCAAAGTTCTTGCAAAGAAATTTTCAATGTTACAGTATTTTACTAATTGATTTTATACATATATCTACACTACTCGTTCATTCATTTATTCATCACAATGGGTAAAATTTTCGACAGCTGGCAATACAATATCAATTACCCATTTTTCAATCAATTCGTTCAATCTGTCGTTCGCACATATTCTGTCTTTGTTTAATTTAAAGTTTAATCGTAGATATGAGGGAGACAAATATAATAAATCTATATATATTATATAGTATAAATATTATTTGCAAAGCCACGTCCTGATTTCAGAAAAGTGCTACGCTTTTTGGCGCGTTTGTTGTATGGGATTGCTTCTCTAGTTATTAAACTCATTGTTTTTGTCAATGAGTTTAATATTTGAATAAAGAACTTTCTTTGAATTTAGATTCAAATTAAAAAATCAACATTCAATCAGCATTCCTATAAATTTACAAACTATCACAATTTCCTTATTAGAGCTGAAAAAAATACGCCAATATGGAGCAAAAACTGATTGAAGCTTTAAAAGTCTGAAAGTTCGTAAGCGTATGTGAACCTTACGTAAAACCTTCTTTCATCGGATCGGATTGCATCGGTTATGTATTTACGTTTGTAATATGTATATGTATATTTATGTCTATTGTTCAAGTATTTCTCGCTAACTAGACATCAGACCAGAAAAAAAATGTTTAATTATTTAGTTTCTAGCTCAGAGAACTGGTTTAGTTAAATTAGTTTAGTACCTTTGAA